TGATCTTATTAATCTGATCTTATTGATCTTATTAATCTGATCTTATTCTTATAAATGATGATCATAATAATATTAACAATACAAATAATGGTTATTTTCGAACACGATACTAAAGTTATTTTTTAGAAATACAAAAATTATTATTATTATTATTATTAGAATAATAAAAGAGTAATAATTATTTTCGACATCCAAAAAATTTAAAATCTCATTGAAATTGACAGTTAATATTGCTGGAATGGCGAATGAATGGAGTGATCAAATAGCGTTGCGATTCGACTGAAATGAATATAGTGCGGGTTTGCATTGTGTTTTGCACGTTTTTGAGTGAAGCGTTCAGGTGAGCTTTTTATTATTACTTATGTTAGTATTATTATTATTAGTATTATTATTATTAGTATTATTATTAGTATTATTATTATTAGTATTAGTATTATTATTATTAGTATTATTATTACTTGTTATTATTATTATTATTATTATTATTATTAGTATTATTATTATTATTAGTATTATTAGTACTGTGATTATTATTGTCATTATTATTGTTATTATTATTATTATTATTATCAGTATCATTACTATTATCATTATCATTAATATTACCATTATTAATTTCATTATTATTATCATTAATATTGCTATTAATATTATTATTGTTATTATTATTATTATTATTGTTAGTATTATTACTATTATTATTATTATTATTATTATTATTATTATTATTATATATGTTATTTTTGTTGCCATTCAGCTTGACATTGGACGAGCGTGAAGAATTGTTGCGCAAATTCAAGTATTATTTATCATCAGTGAAACCAAATATAACACCGAATCGCGTGACGAATCAGAATGGAAGTTTCTTCGGGTTACGATCTGAGCTGCATATTCTGTCGACTGTTCCGAGCAGTGTTCGCTTTATCTGTTATCATTTATTATTTAGCACGTTATTGTTTATTATTATCCACTGTAATTAGTGCAATTCCAGTAATATTCTTAGTTATTATATTTTTTTAATTTCAGGTTAATGACCTGAATTTAGAACTGTTTCTAATGGTTGCATATGTAGATGATCGCTTGGTACTGCGTGAGCTACAGTATCGTTTTCGTTTACCTCTTGCTGAGTTCAAGCCTTGGTTGCCTGAACTGGCCACAACACCTGCAGCTCTGCCTTGGCACATTGATGTTTACTTGGATCC